TAATCTGGTATTTTTAAAAATGGGAGATATTTTTCATTTACAAGTTCATTAGAAACTGGAAGTTGTTTAAAGAAAATACATCTGTTGATAAACAGAAAAGAAACTATCAAAGAGGTAGGAGTTTATGAACAAAGAATAAACACGTTTCTGTAAACTGATGATTAAGACTAGATAATAAATATGTGAAAAAAAGACCAGATGGGTATTTGAAAAGTAAAATCTAAAATAACATATACATTTGCATGTATTTATAATATCAGAAACACAAGTTCAATAAAGCTAGTTTTGTCATGGTTTTATCACTTGCATCCTGAGGTTTAAGATCTATTAGGAAAATGAAAAATGTCTCAGAGCCGGGTGTGGTGGCGCATGCTTTTAATCCCAGCACTTGGGCCGCAGAGGCAGATAGTCTGTGAGTTCAAGGCCAGCCTGGTCTACATAGTGAGTTCCAGGACAGCTGGCCCTGCAGGGAGACCCTGTCTCAAAAAGACAGAAAAAGAAAAAAAAAAAGACAAATATCTCATGATAAGTAATGGTAGTAAGAATATCTGTTGTCATCAGTGTCCTCCTAACATACGTGTCATTGACAACTTCTGAATAATCTTGAGAAATTCTTCACTTTCCCAAACAAGGAATGTAAACAGAGTTGGCCGTGTTTATCCATTATTAAAACTGGTGATCGTTTTTCCTTGTAAACTGATTGTTTGTAGTTATGATATGGCAGCTATACACAGGGCTTTTTCTTTTACATTCTGTGACTGTCACTTGTTGAAACCCAGCTCTGGTTTTGTGTTACTATTATTGTTCCTAGGGATGCTTCCTAGCCTGTCATCAAAGATGTAAGAAAATTCAAAATTCCTTTTGGAATAAGAAGAGCCTCTGTCACCCACAGTGCAATTACTTCTAAAAATAGAAAGAATGGCTATGATAGGACTGTGATTAGACAGAGATGAGCTATTGTCCAAGTAGCAGGAGCTAATCCAGCAGGCCAAAGATGACCTAGCCAGAGCCATTGCTCTGTTGATTGCCATTTCTCTCCGAGTTTGATGAAATATTCATGCCTTTGCTCTTCTCTCTGCAAGCACTATTGATTTCTTGTATAAACGCTACTATATTTAGTCTAGACAAATGGAATGTGGATTGCTGCTGAATAAATTGGAAAAAAGACTGGGATCTTGCCTGCCGCTTTTTCTCAGTCTCGGGCAATTATTTATAATCAAGAGCAGTTTTTGAAAGTTGAGGGTGATTTTTCACAATTTAGTGATTAGTCTGTGAACAAAGGCAGGCAGTTAGACACAATCATTTCTGTTGGGATAGCAGGTTAAGAAGGCAAATTACCCTTTGAGGTTTACAATAACTGTTTCAGAGGAATTGTGGGATTTTTTTCCTTATCTTTTTTTGTTTTGTTTGTTTGAAAAAAATCTTATGGGTTTGATGTTTATTGTTTATGGATGAAAAGGATTCTACTATGAGGAGACCCCTGGGTCTTTTAAACTTTACATTTTGTTTTTATAGGGAAAATTTTTTTCATTTGTATTTCCATGAAACTATAGTTTGGCCCTTTTTGAAGTGAAAATGAAAATATTGCTAACATCCATTGCTTTTGACTGGACTCATGCCAATTCTTAAGTGAATGTTCAAACTCTCACGTTGCTTCAAATTCTGAGTGGAATTTCTACACTGTACATTATAGCGAAGAGACCCAACACACCATCTTCTTTATTTTTTTCAGATTTATCACAATTCTTTTCTTGAATAAGTGTCATATTATAATAGTCACTGTCACACCACTATCTACTAATAAATAATTTTCCCATTGCCATTAAAATGTTACATACAGTTTCACCAGTGCAAACTTCTGATCAATACATTGAAAGTCTACCATCTGTTAGCAAAGAAAGCTTGATACTGCTCTACTTGTATGTGCTCATTTATGTGTGCAGTCCAATGCTGTTGACATGCAAAAGCATTTTTATGTGAGGCTTTACCATTCATAGACAGAATAGCTGTTAGGTTTTCTTAAGGACTAAAAATAATTCAAATCTGCAGAGAACATACATTTGAGAGCTCCCAACTTGGAATCTTCAAATCTAAGTCAGATACTTACAGAAATAGATTATTAGCTTCAATTTTTAGAAATACAGAACTGCAGAAGACTCACTCATATTTCCACCCAAAACACAATACTCATCTGTTCTCTATGTCACCACTATTTGCATCAGAATTTACTGTCTAATCTGATTTAAAACCCAAATAGAATATTGATGCTTAGTGATGGTTGGATTTTTTGCCTTTTTTTTTAAGTACTGAGTCTCAACATACAGAAAATGAAGCCTAAGATTTTAAGAGGCCCATTAAAGAAATATTGACTAAATTATGTGAAGTTTAAATAGTTATCAATGTGTAAATACCAATTTATTATTGCTTTTAAGAATCTTTGATGTTCCCATAAACATTTTTTAGCTTTTTCATTTATTTTTGTATGTAGGTGTCTGCGAATGTGTGTGCATGCTGATATGTGGGGTGCACATACATGACTGTGAACATACTTGTGGAGGCCAGAGGACAATCTTGGGTGTGATTCCTCAGGTGCTACCTGTTTTATTTGAGACCTTGGCCTAGGATTCACCAGGTAACCTAGGCTGGTTGGCCAGCAAGTCTCAGGGCTCTTACTGTCCCTATTGCCCTGGCACTGGGATTACAAGTATGCACCAACATGCTGGGCTATTTTTTAACGAGAGTTTTGGGGACTGAACTCTGGTCCTCATTCTTGTGAGGCAAATACTTTACCAACTGAGCTATCTCCCTAGCCAAGATAGCATATATTTAAACCAAATAGATGAGATACATTTTATTTAGACATTTCTTTTAGTAGGTGATTACAATGATAATAACAATAATCCTATAGTAGTAGTAAATACTATGGCATTTTTTCCATTATGATTATCTCTGTAAGGTTTTTTTCTAGAGATGGCAAACTTAAATCAAATGGTAGCGATATTTAATGTCTTATGACTCATATCAGCAGACAGATTTTGTAAAAGTTTTATGCCAATTGGAAGTGCCATTTGCAATAAATAATTTGGTTGTTCACTTACCTTATAAAGTGGAGCTTATGCATACAGATACACATATAAGTATGAATCATATATGTGATGTTTAATGGCTAGATATTGATGCTTTATTTTATTTATGATTTTAATTTACTATTGAATGGGATATACAGTTGCTGAGTTGTATGCATTTTTGAAGTGTGTTATTGTTTTATTTTCTAATATGTAATTGAAGTCACCTACCGTTTTATTCCCATATCTGCTCATAAATTTTGTTTTGCTAGCTACTCAGTATTGTTGAGTTATTTTAATATATATGAAATTTTCTATTTTTATGCAATCAACAAAGCAAAACCAAAGTCTTTGTTGAGGGCTGTACTGTGCTGGCTGTGCATAATGTAAATGAGTGATCTCACTTCAGCCTTTTTTATCATTGTTGTTCCTATAATGACCTCCATTTAATGGTGAGGGAGCTGAGACCTGGCAGCAATAACAATCTCAGGTTTGTACAGGTGGAACAATCACAGTAACAATCATTTTGGTTTTAGAATAGAGGTTAAAACTGGCAGCCTGCATGTCTAGGTTGATTTACTGAACCATTTTGTTAGGTTTCTTATACCATTAAAGTATTTTGAATATTGATTATTTCTGTCTATTCTACAACTATCCATTCTGTCTGTTCTACAATCCTCACCAATAACTGGCTAGATCTGAGAAATGGTCGACTTTTTCTAAAGAGCTATAATATCCATTTCTGAAGGCTCTGTTTTCTTTAACTCAATCTGCTTGACTTAATTATAAAAGGTCCCTGATTCTTCTGAGCGAGTGTCATCCTCAGAATGTTTAACCACCAGGTGGGTATGGGCACTGACCATTCAGAACAGACACTAGCCTCGAAAACCTTAGCATCCACTTAGCCCTGTCTGTGAGGTCTCCTGCCTAAACCTTTCTCTTTGGAGGTAGCATTATTACATATTCAAATTGTGATTAACACTTCATACACATTATAAAACAGTATTTTATCACTTTAAATATTGCCTTCCATAGTTATACTTAGTTTATCCAATCTTTTCTTTCTTCAATAGGTTGATTAAATAATTAAGATTCCTCATGCTTCTTCTGTCATGTTTATTTTCAGGTTTCCACAGTACAAATCGTTGCTTTTTGGAAACCAGTGCTTAGGAACTTGACGACCCTTACTTTCTCATGTGTGGATCTGGCCCCATTGTTACTGTTAATCACTACCATCCAAATTTTGGATACAGACTTGTGTTCTTTCTTTGCATGTGTATTGCATCATATATTTTACTTTACTTTTAAAATGCATGACTGTTTTTGCTGTCTAAGTGTCCCTATGCATGCCATGCTCATGGCCAGGAGAGGGCATCGAATCCCCTGGAACTTTAGTTTCTGTCTGTTAACTTCCATGTGGGTGCTGAGAACTGAACGTCAGTCCTATGCAAGAGCAGCCAGTACTCTTAACCACAGAGCCATCTTTCCAGCCCAATATTTTTTCATTTTTAAGGTAGAATTTACATTTTGACTCTGATCACAAAATTTTTCATAAAGCCAAATAGTTGTGGCAGAAGTATTCTCTTGTATGATATCTCCCTTTATCTGGCATTTCTTGGTTTTCAGTTGACTTAAATTTGTTTTATGAATAACTTTGATACCAGCGAATCGTTGAATCCATCTATTTGAAAAAAGACAATTGCAGAAGATTCATGGCAGAAAACAGATTACGGAGTGGAAATTAGTATATGGGCCTTTTATCAAAATTGTTGTGAAAAATATTTTATCATCATTGCAAAGCAATGACTAGACTTGTTTTTAAGTGCATTATACAGGGCACTGGGTTCTTTTTTTCTTGGTTTGTTCACAACAAACCAGTTTGCTCATTTCCAATCCTCTAATCCCTGTTTGCTCTTTTCTTTCTTGACTCTCCAGTGGATGTGAAATCAGAGGTCCCTATGGGCCTGGAGCCCATCTCACCTTTAGACCTAAGGACAGATCTCAGGATGATGATGCCCGTGGTGGACCCTGTCGTCCGTGAGAAGCAACTGCAGCAAGAGTTGCTTCTTATCCAACAGCAGCAGCAAATCCAGAAACAACTCCTGATAGCAGAGTTTCAGAAGCAGCACGAGAATTTGACGAGGCAGCACCAGGCCCAGCTTCAGGAGCACATCAAGGTAGCAAATGTGTCTTTTTCTCTGACCTTCTCAATCAGGGCATCTGCACCATGATGTGGGCATAAGACCAACATGGGAGCAAGGATGGGGCATTTCACTGTTGTTAAGACATGGATGTGTAGCTTGAAGGAAGTTTTGATTGTACTAGTAGAAACCTTGGGTAAGTACCTGGTAAACACCTGCTCTCCTTCTGGAAGAGATCACCTCTGCTCTTCTTTCAGGTCACAGAATCATTGATAGAGAACAGAGACTTGGCTCTCTCATTTATATTCTCCCCTGCATTTTCCCTTGCTCTGTCTAGTTGTCACAAAGAAGAGTGAGCCCAGAAAAGCCCATTTTGTATTTCGAAAGAGTCTGTTTGTACCATTTATCAGAAAGTATAAATTAGTCAGGTGGACCAAGAGCATTTTTCTGGTTTTGTTTGTTTGCTGTTTCATTTGTAATCTGTGGATCAATATGTAGATGCTTTTCCTTTCAGAAAACATTTGATAATGTAAATATTGAAAATAATAATATAATACGAAATATAAGAATTTTATATGCAAAAATCATGCCACAAACATTTCAATGTTTTAACACACTGGAGATAACAATTTTTGAAAGTTCTGTGAGAGTAGTTGACAATTTTAGACTTTAAAAAAAGATTATTTTGGGAGAAATGCAACTATATCCCATAATTTTTAAAGATACCCTATTTGATTATCTGGTTATTTTATATATGCATGCCTAATTATTATTTTCTTCATTGATATCTTCAATGAAAAATCTTACTGTATGTTTGTTTATCATTTTTTTCCAAAAATTTTCCAAAATTGATGAAGACATTTAAAAACAAGGCTCCTTCTCTGTGGGGTGACACATGGCTCTAATCTCAGAGCTTGAGAATTGAAGTAAAGAGAATCTTAAGTTTAGAAATATCCTGGCCTTATCAAGTGTGCAAACATCTTAAAATAAAAAAAGCAAAGCAAAAGATGTTTGGTTCAATGAAACAGATATTTAATTTGAATTTATTGTTGAAAACACAAAATCTTTACAATAAAATTTTGCTTTTATATTCAACTCCTTCAAAGATGACTTGCATATGATAATTACTAGAATTATGCACCATGTCATACTTTACTAGACTGTAATCTAAGCACTTAATCTGTTACTTATAGATCAAGTACAAATGCCTGGATGTGGTATTAATATAGACAACTAACTCATTACATTTAATTACAGTGTCTAAGAAGATAAAAGTACTATTCTTCTTGTTTTTCAAGATGTTTTCTTAGTCCATAAAACCTATAGTATCTTATTTGCATAAAAGGCTCTTCAATACCTAATATAAAATGTAATCTTTTTCCCCTAGTGAAACTTACTAAAAATCTCTTCCATATTATTGATCTATAAAACAACTTCACAATAAGAGTGAAGTGTTTCTTGGTGCAT